TGTGTGAGAGAAAAACAGACTAAATCCAAGTGTAATATCATGCTGGTAGGCAGAGGGCTTCATACAGACACTGAATTTCCCAAACTCCCAAATTCCTACAGCAGCAACAACTTCTAACACTTGCTACAAGAAAAGTGTAAAGTGGGGAAATTCTAGAATCCGAAGTCAGAGCCCCAGCCTCCAACTCTGACACTGCTTCTCAAATCTTTTTGTCACATGTGACAAAAGACAGCAAACGGGTGGCTTTCCCCTACAGGGCACTGATCAGAGAGCCTGATGACAGTCTGCATCTCACAGCAGATCAAATAACTCTTCCAGCAGTGCATCAAGTACATTGGCAATTTTATATGCTGATTTTGTGGTGTCTTCTCTCTGTTTTCCTGTTCACACAGGACTTTGTGGAAGCAGTTAATGTTGTTAGACAACATCATCACCCTGATTTCTCATCAGTAGGTGCTTAACACCACAATTCATTTTCACTGTCAAATCTCTTTCCTTTTCTTCTTGCTTTGCTTTCCCTTCCCTTCTTGCCCATTTCTTTCCACTTCCTCTGGACCTCAGTACATCCTGAAAATGTACAGATATTAAGTTTTATGCACAAGTTCAGAGTCAGGAGGATTCTGTCTGTGCCCAGATACCAAGACCTTCATCAGCTTGAAAAAGCCTGAACTAACCACAAAAGAACTAGATTTTATCTACTAGAAACTGAATTTTTAACTCAAAGGGAAAAATAAAAAGCTCAGATTCACATGTAAAACTGAGCACACAAGCCAACTAACATTTGTCCAAGCACTCCCTAAAACTCTCTAACAAGTACCACGTGCAAACAACCAGCTATTGGCACGCACCAGCAATGCATTTACGGACTTCACTGTCCATGAATGTTTGCACTTAGACCTCAGGCCACTATCCTAAAAACATTGGCCTCATATATGAGAGATCTGTTGTCTTCACGCAGCTATTACTTGCTATGAATGATGGAGCAAATTCCTAGTATTTCTGTCACCATCTGTGCCTATGTACTTTAACAAAGGTAAATTAAATTTACCCTGAGCAACCTGATCTCCCTTGCTCTGTGTGTAATCATAGAATCACAGAATCATAGAACAGTTTGGGTTGGAAGGAACCCTAAAGCCCATCCAGTCCCACCCCCCTGCCCCGGGCAGGGCCCCCTTCCCCCAGCCCAGGGGGCTCCCAGCCCCGTCCAACCTGGCCTTGAACCCTTCCAGGGAGGGGGCAGCCACAGCTGCTCTGGGCACCCTGGGCCAGCGCCTCACCCCCCAAACAGGGAACAATTTCTGCCTTAGAGCTCATCTAAATCTGCACTCTGGCAGTTTAAAACCATTACACCTCGTTCCATCCCTACACCCCCTGACCCAGAGTCCCCCCCCACCTCCCCTGTCCCCCCTTTAAGCCCTGGGAGGCCGCTCGAAGGGCTCCCCGGAGCCTTCTCTTCTCCAGGCTGAACCCCCCCAACTCTCTCAGCCCGGCCCCCCAGGGGAGCTGCTCCAGCCCCCCCAGCATCTCCGTGGCCTCCTCTGGCCCCGCTCGAGCAGCTCCGGGTCCTTCTGCTGTTGGGGGCCCCCGAGCTGGCCCCAGCACTGCAGGGGGGTCTCCCCAGAGCGGAGCAGAGGGGGACAATCAGACAATCCCCTCCTTGACCTGCTGCCCACACTGCTCTTGATGCAGCCAAGGGTATGTTTGGCTTTCTGGGCTGCTACTGCTGTAATTTTTAATGCCTTGAGAAATATTTTTTCTGCCATATATGTGGTACATAAGGTAAGGAAGAAAGGGAAAGGTAGCCTAACTAAATACTTTAAGTTGCTCTTAGAATATAATATCCTGGCAGAACAGCTGAATACAGCTTGTGGAGGTGCTTAATAATAACAATAATAATAGTTATAATAAATTATTTATAATAATAAATAAGGACAATACATAACAATAAGTGTTCCATTTGTGAAAACCAGGGAAAATAATAAGATCCATCATTCTGTGTTCACAAAACACTTATACTGCACGCGACAGCCACACATTCTACATTTGATGCACCCTGTGGTCTGGAAATTAGGATCACAAGGTATGCTGGGAACCTGGAAGCAAAGGGGACCGGAGGGACTCCTCTCAGCTGGAGTCTCAGCATTTGCCTCTGCTGAGCCTGCCACCACGCATGCTATTAGCATTCATTATATGAGAGTGTTTTTGTGATGTGGGTGCATCTCCACCTGGAATGAGTTAAAAAAGCATAAAGGCCATCAAAGTGTTATCAGATGTTATTAATGTTGAGCCCACTAAAATCTGGACTGCATCTGAACTACTGGCACACAGATGACAAGTCCTACATCCCATTAAGAATTTCCTGAGTCCTCAGACGTATTGCTCATGTAAAAGATACTTCTGAATGGGTTGTCATCCTTTAAATGACAAAGCAGAGAGTAAGAGGGATATTTCTGATGGTTTCATTAATGATTTTTCAGTTCAGTCCCTGTATCTTCTTTCTGCCACTGTTTTATATCTCAGGAGGCTTCCTTGCACAGACTCTTCTCATGGCTGCTGATGGTGAGGTCTGTGCTGGAGCCCAACAGCCATGGCCACTGTGCTGTTCTTAAGAAGGGATCTCCAACCATGGGCTAGCTGCACAAACCTTCCCCAGGCCACAGCCACCAGCCTTCACTGTATTTTCATTCTCTCAAGCGTCTCTTCACCATATTTATGTCTATACAGAAAATGGTTCCTTCCTCTGCTGTTGCTGCCATTTTCTCCCTCTAACCATTCTGCTCGAAGATTATTTTCCACCCCTCCCACTCAGTCCTCCATCCCTCCCTCTGTAATTCCCACACCAGGAATACCCTCCTCTCCGCTCCTAAGTGCTCGTGACAGCTGCCATCTTGGCCCAATCAGGAGTGATTGATCCAGCATCCTTCAGCACCAAGTGCATTTGATCTGTAAAGCTCTCCAGCTGGGTCTGTAATAACTCATATCCTTTGTGGGTTACACATCAAGCAACTCTTTCCCCATCAGTCACGTCTTTCTTGATAGAAAAGTTCTTCCATGAAGCCCTTCATGGCTAATCCACCATCTCATGCAGCACATGATAGAAAAAAAGGTTATGAAAAGCAGTATTTTGTGTTGCTTTCGTGCAGACAAAGCGGATTTCCATGTCAATTTTGTTGAATAAAAACTTCTGGGGGCAGAGACTGTGAATTCTTCTAGGATTTAGACCACGATAAGAGCAGTCAACTCATAAATATTTATACCTGAGGCTCACTAAATGAGCCACTACTCACTACTTCGTTTCATTTTCATTAACTCTGTTGCTGTACTTACTGCACTACATTCAGATCCCACCCTGCAGCCCAAACCGCTGCTATCACCCTCAGTGCAAGGCTGCTGCATACGGCTCCGTCATCTGGGACACTGGCTTCCAAATTCAACAGTAAGAAAATTAGGGCCAGATATTCCTGTTTGTGTAGGGTCAATGTTTCAGTGCACTGGAGTAGAAGACATAAATACCTTTTTATCCCTGACATTTGAGTGTCCAGCTCTCCACCCTCCTTTAGATTCATAACACAAGACAAATGACCGGGTTATATTAGCTGCAGGCTGGTTGTATCTTGTTGCCTAAATCACATTTTTTTTTTGTGATATGTTTTGTAGAATCAGAATGTGCTGGTTTGTCTACCTTGCACGCAAATGTGAAACTAAATATCTCTTCAGAAATTAGATTTACTGAATATTTTGTTAGCTATATAACAATCTGTTTTGATGCATTACAGGCACTGAAATCAGGTCAGAACAAGACCATGCAGACCTGTATTCAGTCTCTGAGATAGCAGGTTGCAAAGGAAGAACACAAAGACAGGAAAGTCTGTAGAGATGCTTCCTCCTCATCTGCCAATTTGTGACTCAGTGACTTTTCAGCCAGAAGTGTAATCTTTGTATTTAATTGTTTTTCAAGTTTTTCTTTCATTATTTTGTCCCATCTCCCATTGATCTAATGTGAACTTTTAATCTCCACATCCTCCCATGCCAAGGAGTATCTACAGCTTAATTATACGTTGTGTGAAGTACCGTTTTCTCTTCTTTCTGTTTCTTTTCTTAAACCTGCCACATGCGAGTTTCATCTGGCAGCCCTAGCTCTCATAATGAAAGATGTTTATCATTCCATCATTCCCTATTTCCCTCCTTCGTGTCCTCGTAACGTTGCACATCTCTCCTTTAGTCTCCCGCCTCTTTCCAGACTAGAGAGCTACTCTACATGTCTCATATGGAAGCTGTTCCTTATCTTTGTTTGTCTTTTACCCTGGCCTATAAACTTTCTCCAGTTTTACATATCCTTTGGCAGGTGAAGCACCAGAACTCTGCATTGTATTCAAGAGGCAGGTGCACCATCATTTTATAGAGGGTCATGGTGACATGATTTGTTCTCTCTCCTTCTATAAAATGCATTTTTATCCCCCTTGACAGGTTCTATATGAAGGAAGGCTGTTTACTGCCATCCCTTGGCCATAACTATAATGATTTGGTGCAGAATCCTTATTGCAATTCCATCCAAAATTCCTATGCCTGTAAAGTAAATATGAAGGTATCAAAGTATCACATCAATGAGAAATCTGTAGGGGATAAATTCAGGATTAATCCCTCTCCATAAATAAGATCTCACTGATATGAGAGAAACAAGTCAAATGATATAAAGACCAGTTCTTACTAATGCTGGCAGTGTTAGGCATACAAGGAAAAACTCTGAGGAGCAGGAAGAGCAGTTCTCTGATGCAAAGACTGTTAAATAATCTGAGTATTTTCATTGATTTCTGAAAATTTTGGCATGGACCAAAGTTCTACACTGATTTTAATCCAAAGACATAAACCAAAGTACTATGAGAGTGGTCTGAATGAAGGGACTTTGTATGTGAAGCCAAAGTCATGGCAAGCATGGAAAAGGTAACCAGAGTTCATTTGGGCTGCTGTATTCTTTATTTTTATTCTTCTAAAGTGCTTTTCTATATACCATCATTAATGACACATTTTGCATATGATCAGTGATTAATGGCAACTAATTATTAATAGGGACTGAATACATATTACCATGTACATAGAGTGTAACAGAGGTAAGATGTCATGTAAATATTCTGAAAATCTCAGCTTCAGATGGCAAATTTGCTATGGACAATAATGTACATTCTGTCATAATCAAGCATGCTTTAATATTTAGATGGGTCATTCACATTCAGTGGGCAGGCATGTAATTTACAAGTTAAGAGGTGATTAAAGTCAGTGGTTTCTTCTATAGAGTGTGTATTTTTATTTTTTTACAGAAAAAATCTATCATTGATAGCTCAATTCAGATTATGAATAATATAAGAAAAATCTTAAAGAAACAGTATTATTCACATATTAATATGCTCCATAAGTATATGACTACAGGATCCTCACCACATCCCAGTGAAGCAGGTGTAGGTTTTTCTTTCCACAAGTGTGTCAAGGAAATCCCAGAAGTCAAGCAGTCTGGGAAGAGTAAAACCTGAATTAGGAGTGAGGACTTCTGGGATTGGTGTCCCCAGACCATCAGGCTTCTTTAACTGCAAAGAGATGGAGCTTAGTTCCACGGCTGTAGTCACCTCAGGTTTGCTCCGTGCCTTCTCCCGGGTGGGCATCTTAAGAGCAGAACTTGCCATAAGCACTTCTATAGGCGGACACCGTGAGATACATATCGACTCTGGGCTGAGTTCAGGTATGATCAATCATGATGGAAAAGGAGTGGTTTCACCCCTGAACAGATGAACTATTTTACGACTGATTTCTGGACAGCGGACAGAGAAAGAGGTGAAAACTTGGGGTCCTTCTTTTCATTTTAAAATTTCTCTTGCCTGCACAAAAGTGCAAGATTTGCAATACATTCAGTCATGACCGAAGAGCAGCTGGGTTCATACTTTTTCTCCTCAACTCTCTCTGATGATGGGTCATATTGAAGTAGCATGCTGTCACAGTTCAGTACCGACAGCCACAACCAAGCTGTCCCTGGCTGCAGACAAGGTGGCAGGATGAGCCTTGATTGAACAAGTGCTGAAAAAAAATTTCTAAATTGGCTTGCTATGGGAGAGAGGCTAGAAAGGCTGCTGAAAGTCAGAGCTTTGGAAAAGATGCTAAGGAACACTGGCAGGGAGAGCCTTCTGCTTTTTCTTCATGTTTTTCTTCTTACTTATTTAGAAGATGGGACCTGTTGGAAAGTCCGCCCTGGAGATGCATTCACCAAGTGTCTCCTGAGGTATTCAGCTATTTTACAGCCCAAGGTAGAAATGCACAGGAACAGTTTAATCTCATTGCAGTGACCAATGCTTACAATTGAAGAAGAAAGCACTACTCTTATTTTGGATATACCTTCTTCAATGGCATCTTTTTCTCCCCACAAAATGAAATCACCTTTTTATACAAACCAATTAAGCGGTCTTGGCCCAGCTTAAAAGCAATGAAGACAATTTCCATGCCAATAATAATATAGAGGGAGAAAAACAAGAAAAACTTGGGATGTTCCAGTTGTGTATCTCCAAATCCAATAGTTGTCAATGTGATAAAGCAGAAATAAAAGGCTTCCTGAAAATCCAACCTGGTTTCCCAGTTTGGAAGAATAGCAGCTGCACAGGAGATGTACACAAAGATAACTAGCACCATTAAGACAATGGGCACATCTAATTTTTCTAACTCTTTCCCTATTTTGTCAAAATTCTCAATTACTCTGGTCATTGTCTTTCCCCTGGCTAGTTCGGGACATGAACTCCATCTCTCAATGCTTTTATTTCTTGCTGGCTTTGTGTGTTCATTTTCTCTGGCAACTAACATTTCAAAAATTTCAGCATTTCGATATTTGATTGGCTTCCTTTTAACACCTGGCTGACTTTTCAGCACTTCCATAATAGTCAAGGGCTCACTGATGACTACTTTAGAATGTGCTCTGGATTTTAGTTCATTCCCTTTGTTACATGCAGATCCAGAACAGAGTTTAGAGGCTAGAATTTTTGACTGTAGTTTTCTGAATTCATTGTAAGACTTGGATAAGACAGTGGCAAGGATGTCTCCCATGTCTGTCAGGACCAAAAACATCAGAGGGATACCGAATAAAGCATACAACATACAGAGATATTTTCCAATCCGTGTCACAGGATAGGTATTACCATAACCTTGAACAAAAACAAAAAGAGGAAGAGAAGGGAAAGAGAAAGAAAGAGAAAATTGTGATTTATTAGGTATTCATGACCTCTGAGCTTTTTTATTGCTGTCAATTTTAAAAGTCAATTTTTAGTCCAGAGCATGCTGTTCTTTTTGGCTTTGCTTTGAAGCTATTAAAATTTCTGAGTCTCAACAGCTGGTTACTAATGCAGGCATCCTACCTCTTCAAACACTTGGAGATTTGGAGTGTGCCAGTTCTGTTGAAATAACCTTTCCTACCTTATCTGCACCTTATGGGTTGTTTGGCTTAACTGCCTGACGACAAGAGGCCATTTAGGGAGGAGAAACAAAAGGTTTGTGACAGCCCAAGATCAATGTGCAGCCTCTACCCTCCTGGAGACTGTTATCAGGAAGATTTTCTGACCTCAGAATATGGGTTAAGAAGGATCCAGAAGGGACAACAGCAAGAGAGGTCTTGGGCCCAGGGGTGTCTCTGCAGGGAATTGGAGCTGAGGGCTGAGCTCAGAGACAACACCTGATGCTGAGGCAGATAAAGGACAGAGCATGAGGAGCTGGGCATCATCTCCCAGCCAGCCTCTGGGATCTCACAGTACAACTGAATGATTTCTGGGGATGGCACTCCCTGAGCTCTGGAAAGATTCAGATCTGGATGATTGTCTGAATTTTGAAACTGAGACAGTACTATGGATCAGACTGGGACAATGAGGTCCATACCTTAGACTTCATTTCTTTGCCAAAACTACTTGCGATGAGTGGTAAGCTAATAACAGAATTTGAAATTGTTCCTAGTTCATCAGACCTAGCTGTAATGGCATATATTGTATTGACGCTATGTTTGCACTGACTTAATAGAATCTCTTAAATGCAGCCAGAAAAAACAAAGGATCAAGTGAGGAAGCACATGATTATCACATGAAGAAATGCATATTTATTCTAGAGTACTAAAACCTACAAATATCAATTACAACAACTAGGGAAGTACTACCAGACACAAAGCCTTTATGATACATAAAATGGTAGAAGAAGATATGCCCTTTCCTTAAATTTAATTTGGATATTTATATTTCCTTCTTCTAACATACTGGATATGAAACTTAAATTGTAAGTTAGTGCTTTTCCATTACAGTGGGAGAAAGCATCAACATTATGATAATTGTATTAAATTTTAACAGCCATTTTTCTTCTTATCCTCCAAAAAGACATAAAGCATTTCTTCTCTCCCTTCAAAAATATTGTTCTTTTCTAGATGATCTTCCAGGCCAGGTACTTAGCCTGTAAGATTATTAGCTCATATGCTGAGGTATGGTTTCCTTCATTTTCTTCATCCATTCATGTTTGTTTTCACTAATGGCTGCCACAGTCTTTGGTCTGAATCCAACCTTGATTCCTCCTTTGCTGTGAGGCACTGAAAAACCTAATCTCTGTCACTCTGTTCCCCACTGGCTAACTTTAAATGCTAATGCTTATTGCTGAAGCAATTGGGGAAAATTAATTATTGTAGCCGATATCTAGTGCAGCTTCAAGGGTTAAATCTTATCTTGAGCTTAAATTTAGCTATTTACTGAGCTACTAGGCAACTACTGACGGGAGTGAAGAGACAGAAGTTCACACCACTGATCTTCAGACTAAATGTCTTGCTTCTCCTAGGTAATTACAAGTAGCTAAGCTGACTCTAACCTGAAGTGATTTATCAGTTCCTAATATTGCAAATAACAAACTCACCACAATGGAAATAGCCACCTATTAGCAACAAAGATTCCAGGCTTCCTACTGGTCCCAAAACTCAGCTCAAAACCTGAGGAAGCTGTGTTAATGGTCAGCACTATGAAGGCCAAAAATAATGGCAGTTTAGAAATAAATATTTTGGATCGGTGTGTATGGGGGCATTCATAAAATCCCATGTCAATAGAGATGGGTAAGTATACCCAGGCAAGAAATTTTCAACAATAGGATTTGATGAAGTCAAAGCTTTCTGATAAAATGACCTCTTTCAAACGTTCCTAGCTGATGTGTTTGTAATAGGAAATATTCACTGGGGTGAACATTTGCATCTGTGTCTCTGATGAGCTAGATGACTGCCTTCAAACTCAAACTGCAAAAAGGTGAGTTTTAATGATCTCCTAAGACATCAGAGTCAGAGGTTCAAGCCTCTGTTGTGACTTAGACAGCACATTAGGGTCTCCTACATGCTCCAAGCGAACTTATAAACTCTCACACTATTCCTTGTGTGGGGTAAAACTTTCTTTAAGGTTCAGTTTTTCTTTTTCTTTTGCATTAAGATGCATACCCATGCTAGGATCTTGAGTATATCCTAATGCAGTGGAGACATGTCTTTGCAATTTGATACACTGCTGTGGGACTATTTCCCATCCAGCTTTGATTCTGACAAATTTAGGCAGTCAGTGCCTGTACTTGCCAGTATTTGAGAAAGATTAGCAAAGGGATAAAAGTAGTTTTGGGAATGAGCATGAGGAGTTGTATTTAGCAATGCAGAGGGAGCCAAAACCAGAGCAGATGTTTCTATTTTATCTAGGTCCTCCTTTGAAATATGAAGTCAGAATGAAAGATTTCAGAGGTGCAATTTAAACATTGCTGTGTGCTGTTAACCCATAGAAGTGTGAACAACAACAGTGTGGTTAATTATAGAGCCATAGATTTACAAAGCTAGGTTAGACATAAATAACAGGGAAGAAACTGAAAAACAATATATGCATAATGAATTACCTCTTCCAGTGAAGAAAACATTACCTAACATAACACACAATAGTGGGAAGGATAAGGTTTGACCGAAACATTGAGTTCTCTTTTTACTTTAATATAATAGTTTTGTGTACATGTCATATGTAAGTACATTTAATAGTATGCATGTCGTGATGCAGCTAATTAGAATTTACCATCACTGGTTCCAGAATTCTGACTTGTTTCTGTGACTCAGCTACATCTCTGCAATCTCTGTTTGCAGAACCCCTTGCAGCCTCACTGTCAATACTCAGAAGAAAAATTCAAGGGGATTTGTCTTTAGGGTTTGGGGTGTTATTTTTAATTCCCTGGAAGAAAAACATTAGAGAAAACAGCAATAGCAATTGATTCTTCAGGGAGTTACTTTACCTCTGAACTTACCCACAGTTGTGAAGACTGTGCAGCAGAAAAAGAGAGACCCAAAAAATGTCCATATATCTTTTGGATTGACAAACCAGTCTCGTTCAGCTGTGTTGAGCAGTGCATGGATTTTTTCCTTAAATACTTCCTCATTCTCTGTCATGTTATCTGTTACAGTAGCAACAGGAGATACGGTGAGTGTTTGCAGACTGCCACTCAGGGAGCAGCCAGCCTGTTATTCCTGTGAAGTGTACTCCAGCTGAGGATTCACTCATACTCTTTTAGAAGACAAAAATATTCACCTCATCCTCCCCTTCTCCCCTTCCCCCCAGAAAAACAAACCAAAACAAAATGAAACAAACCAAAAAAATCAGGTGGGTCCGGCAGCTTTGGTGAATAAATGAACAAGGAACAGATAAACAAGCAGTGATCCAACAATTTAAAAATATGACACAAAAATAAGCATAAAGAATCAGGACAGGATGATCGAATATTCAGCTTCCAGTCTGAATGTTCTGTTTCATTTTGGAGTCCCCAGGAGATTAGTCCTCTTTTGACCCAAAGACACTTAGGAATGTGAGGTTGTCAGTCCATGGCTGATGTGAAACACTCAGGCAGCAATGCCCAGCACCCTGCTGTGAATCCCAGAGCCTGCACCCCTTGTTCCTGCTCCCCATGGCTGAACTCTGCTTGGAAGGACATTATCTACAGGGATGCTTGTCCCAAACAGATCATCGTGTCAGCACAGCTACCTGAGTGAAAGTCCAAGCCCGTGTACAAGCCCTGACACAGATCCAGGAGGATATCTACTCCTTCTCTTCCCCTCTACCCCCTCCATCAGCATCCCTGTGTCCGGGGCACAGCACTGCACCTGATTCCATCCGAGCATCCCATCACCAGAGGGAAGGGAAGAGCTTGGAGCTGGGAAAAGGGAACTGAAAGAGACTTTCTGAGAGAGAAGATTCAGTCCCCAGCAATCAGGAGGAAATACCATGGGAATCTCAGCTGCTCTTTAAAGAACTTAGATAATTTGGGCAAAAGGGAGAACACAAGTTCCTCAGGAAAAGTCTTTTCAGGCAGGAATACAAGGGAAGCTTGAAGTCAAAAATCACAGCTAAGGAAAACAAGGAAACAACAGCAGTCATTAGCTAAGCAGAGGGAAAATCCTGTTTGCAGGTTGAGCTGTTAGTATTTAGAAGAATATCTTAAAAGACAAAAATCTCATTCAAAAAATCAGGAGAATGAGCAACTCCCTTTACAGTTAAGTAATTTTGAAAGTCCAGTACATACCTGACAAATTTCTGGAGATGTTCCACAGATTCTGCAGAAATTTTCTATATTCTTCACTTAAATTGACCTTCCGGTTACCTTCAATGTGGGAAAACATGAGAGCCCCAAGAAAAGCATAGATCACAAGAGATAGAATGAAGCAGGCATGAGGAAATACTGCCCAAAATATTTTTTTACATGCCCTTTTACCTCGCAGAGGCTGTGATGTTGATGCCATCCTAAGCTCACTTTTTTTTTTTTTTTTTTTTTTTTTTTTTTAATTTTATGGAGAAGACACAGCTTTTAGAAACAAGGATGAGGATGTAAAAGCTTTTGCATGCTAGAAAAGCTTCTCCTGTGAAAACAAGGATTGTTCTGCCTCAGGCTTTCAGATCACATGCCTTTATAAGTGAAGATTGCACTACAGTCCCAATGGAAAAGGAGCACAACTAATCAACCCTTGAAATATATCTCAGTTGACAATACACCACTCTATCCCTGAATTACTATTTATCAGCCAGCACTGTAATGCACACAGATTACCAGCTTCTGTGGGTTTCAACTGGAGCTGACTCATGTTTAAAGTTTCTTGTTCTGAACTACAGTTTCCCATTGATAAAGTAGAAATATTTCCAACTCCCAGGAGGGAAAATCTGCTCTGTAAGGGATGGATTTCTTTAAAGATTTCTCCCAGCAATTAATAGGGAAATTTAAAATTAATCAAAAGAATAAGTTGGCACTAATTGTTGTCACTTCTGGGCAGACTGTAGAAAAATTAATTTCTCTTTCAGGTGGCTTAAAGAATCTCTCTATATATACCATGTAATGTTTATATGGGGGTCTTCTGAATTTTAAAGGATTTTTCTCAAAAAAAAAAGTCAATAAAGTTTTCCCCAGTTTTCACTTGATTAAAATCTTCCAATTAATTGAAATTGTTACTGACCGTAGTAAGAACTGTAGGATTCAGTTCAAGGTTAGTGATCTTTGTAAACTATGTCAAATTTTAAATATAAAACCTTTCTTTTCATCCATTACTCTAAAACATTTAGAGCAATGAGCAGTATCACTGCCCTTTACAATGACAGAGGTGGTAGTAAGGGGAGTGGGACTTTACAGAAAGAGATGTTAAATATTTCATCTCTACCAGTCTTTCATTAAAAATTGAAACAGCCTTGTGCAGCCAAGACCTACTGAGCTGTATACAAGCAACATGTCCATGCTACAAAGAAATCCTACACTGTTACAATGATTTCTTGTAGGTCAAACTCTCAGCAAATTAGATCAGAAGATGTTATATGCTCATCAATATGGAAGCCTCCACTATAGAAAAGAGGCTTTCGGGGTTAAGACAAAAATGAACCCGTGTGCTTGCTACTTTTCTGGTTATCTGCCTCATTGACTCAGTCTTGCTTTTTGACAACAGATTTATAAATCCTCTTATTGTAGTCAATCTCTTTTTTTTTTTTTTTTTTTTTTTTCTGTTGTCCTGAAGCACAGGGTTGAAAACTGCTAATGTTCATAATGAAACAAAATCTGGAAGAGCAAAGTGTCTGTAGGCAGTGGGATGCTCCATGCTGGAAGAACAATGTTGGCTTCTCTTGGGGAGTTTTGTAGAGAGTGAGTACCAGTGTTATATAAATCGATAGAGTTTACTTGGATTTCTAAAGGAGTCTTGACAAAGTCCCTCTCCAAAGGTTTTTAAGGGAATTAAACAGCTATGGCATCAGAGAAAAAGTCTTCACAGGAAGAACTTAATGGTTAACAGAGAGGAATAGAAGGCAGGAGTAAAAAACAGAGGGGAGATTACTGGTGGAGTTATGCGTGAGTCTGTGCTGGAGCTCTGCTGTTCCACACATTCATAAATGAACTGGAAAGAGAGTAAACAGGGAGATGGCAATGTTTGCTGATGGCATGAAGTTGTTCAGAGCAGTGAGACTGAGGGCAGATTGGAATGTAGGATGACCTGAGGATGTCTATCAATGGAATGGCAGATAAAAGCAATGTAGATCTGTGTAAAATAGGATAATCAATCCTAACCTCACTAATAAAGTGAGGGGCTCTGCTCTGACTATCACCACTTAGCAGCAAGGTCTGGAGGTACAATGTAACAGTACCAAAAACACATCAGCCCAACAACTGATCGTAGTGAAAATGCAAAACATATGTTGGGAATAATGAGTTAAAAATAAAGACTAATACATTGGTTATCCATATATTACTGTACAAATGCATGGTTTGCACATACCTAGAGGAGTCAGTGTGGTTCTGATACTCTGCTCTCAGATAGCACATAAAACTGGTAAAAATTCAAACAGCAACTAGGTTGACTGAAGGTGTGGACAGATTTCATACAAGGAATGACTGAGTAGTGCCTCTGGCCAGGATAAAAAACAATAACTGAGGGAGTATATAACAGCAGTCTTCAAACTCATAGGCGGTCTGGAGAGAGCAGATGAAGGATCAACACTCCCTAGTCTCTTCCGGGACCAGAACTGGGGACTATCAAATGAAGCAAGTAGAAACCTGCTTCAAAACAAATAGAATGGTTTCTAACATAGCTGTAAAATTCTTTGCCAAAAGGATGTAGGGTTTACAAACATTAAAGAAGATAATGGAGAGGTGCTTAGAAGAACAATCATTAATACTGACTACAAACCACAAGGGGCTCAATAACCCCCTGAACTGAAAATAGTTTGCAGCTGAAAAAGTGAAACAGGTTACTGGGACAAATGGGCCCTATGTCTGAGGCAGTACACTCACATTTATGTTAGTCTTAAAAAAGGTTTTCACTGCCCAGTATGGTAATTCTGACACAATTTGTCCTGCAGACTTTGTCATCTACATCTCAGATATAAACCTCTTTCTTCCAAAGTGCTTTAAAATATTCTCAGCTGCTTCCTATAGATGGTAGGACTGCAAAGTATTTAGCAACTCCCAGGAGCTTCTCAGCCATTTGCAACATCAGGCTCTGAGCTTGTGACAATGAGAAAATTCAATAAAAATATATCCAGAAATGATTTTTTCATTATTTGCTTAATCTAAACCATTTCCCACTATTGCTGTATTACATATCTGAACTCAGTTGCTTAAAAGCAAATCCCACTAACCACAAGTTATTCCAAATTGAGTTATTGGTACTTGAATTGAGAAAGATTTTTGCAATACACATTTCCTATTCATGTTAATGGACAGCAAACCTGCACTTTTCCTAACTTCCATTTCTTAGATTAGAGCAAATGTGAGTGCTCTGAAGGTGCTGCTTGCAAGTTTGTGAACACAGCCGCAAGGTTTAATTATTCCAGTACAAATATACGTATCCTAGAATTCCTACTTTATCTGATATTCCTGGATTACAAAGGTTATACCAATAAGGTAATTGTTTGGGCAGTGAAATGTTTTTCAATAATCAGTAAAACTCTTCCCACATCAAGTCATCTACCATGTTGTCAAAGACCTGCTATGTCTACCTCTCTTCTATGAAACACCATTGGATTCAGCATACACTCAGAGCACCTTCTCCTTTTTTGAACAAAACCGAAGTGACTTGAAGGATGGCCAGTGCCTTATAAAAAAAAAAATACGGCAATTGACTAAATTGATTGCTTTTATTTGTATCTGGCATTGATTGTGATGGGAATATTGTTTGATAAAGGACTTAGACCACAGCCTGACAGTACTTCATGACAATGAGAATTAAAAATGTTCCATTCAAGATTTAATGTTAACAAAGATCATGGAGTATTTGATCTATTGCTCTGGCATATGACCCTGGAAAGTATTTCCAGAATGCACTAATATAATTAAGCTCCCCAAGAAAACTAGTGTTTCTGTATAACAGTGATATCAACCCCAAGCAAAAAAAACCCACCCCAAAACCACAAAAAACAAGTAGCAGCAGTAGTTGGATTAAGAAAGCAATCTCAAGGCTCTGTAAACACTAGCTTTGATCCCCAGACATGAAGTCACCCTGCTTGGTGAGGAAGACTAGGGGGATACCAGTGAGGTTTCAGTAGTAGTGTTAGTGAGAACTTTCAAACGACTCTTCCCACACCCCACCCACCATGCTTACCCCTACCCCTCCTATCCCTTAGGCTCTTGAGACCTGTCCTGGTGGGTTTTCAGCCCACAGTGGGGCCCAAAAGTAGTGCTGCCCCAAGCCCAGCCCCAACACAGACATATGACATTTGTGGAGAGCATATATATCCTGCCAGATGAGCAACACATGCTTTTCAGGCACCTTGCAATTATTTTTCTCCTCCCGACCCCAACCATATTCCCCTGGAGTATGAGTTCCCCTGATACCTCCTGTTCTTCCCACTGCCCCCCTTACACCTCACACTGATGGGATGGAGAGAGAAATGCACTAATTGGCTGTGTAGGGTCTCTTGGATACCCCAGGGGATGGTTTAGCTTCCTTTGTAACCATCTTTAAAAGTCTCAGCTTTCTCTTGAGTCAAGTGCTTGAGCTTGTAACCTCTGGGAATATTTGAGAGCACTCAGGACTAGCATCCTGACACTGCATATAATGCTAAGTGGATTCAAACATGTCCAGGACTCTCACCCTGAATAAGAGCATTTCCTATTTCATTCTCTGTTCACACCAAAGGCCAGAAAATGGTCCCATCATTTCATTTATGAGAGGCAAACACTCTTCACATTCCCCACGACCAGCCAAGGCTTGGGTATTAGTCTCTGTTCCTCCTCTTTTTTTGGCATGAATGAAGTCGCACAGCCAGAAAATAACTCTGATGGGAAACTTTTTCACCTGGTGACTAAACAACAGGACCAGCCTTCATTCACTCATGAGCTAACCAACCCACTTCTCCATCCCCGCTTCCCCACCCCCAAATCATTGACTAGGTAGAAAGACTTCACTTGCTCCTTTTATTTCACCTCTTCCCCAATCCCAAGCCATCAGCAATAGTCTAGAAGGAGTAGAGCTGCCCCCTTAAGCATGCATCCCAAACGGAGGTAATATTACCCCTTCCTCCCTAGGAAACTTGTAACCTCAACATCTCGTCTCTATCGCTAATCTTCATGTGCAATTGCACCTGGGAGCCAGTGGTGCAAGCATGCATGGAGGGTTTGGTTGCTGAAAAGCTTGGGTGTCCAACTCAGCAGAGCGCTTCTCCCTCCTTCTGTTCATTCTGCTATCTGAACCATGTGCTAAGTGAGAATATGCTTGGGTCTGGAAGGGGAAGCTGCTTCTGGACAGACAACACTCTTC